GTCATCTGCCTCCTTCCAGAAAAAGCCCTTATAAAAATAATAAGTCTTAAAGTAAGTTTATTCTTTCTCCGAAGTCATACATCTCAAAGAAATGAAATAGTCATCTTATGGCAAAGCCGGTCATTTCCATTGCCCTCATATGGGAAAAGTATCTCATAAATCATGGACAGTTTATATCAGCCTGGAAGCAGGACCCTTGAGAAGGACATTTTAGAAAGTACAGCAACTTTCATGTGTTGTGATTTGGTCTCTTGGTGTGAGGCAAGTAGTTTTTTTTTTTTTTCCTTATTGTGGGCTTGGCCTCCACCTGTGGCACTGGCATTCCATGTGGGCGCCAGTTTGTGTCATGGCTACTCTTCTTTTTCTTTTTTTTCTTCTTTAAAGATTTAAGGGATGCTGGCACCTCAGGCCAGGGCATTAACCAGCTGTGCCAGAGCTCTGGCCCCTGCTCCTCTTCTGATCCAGCTCCCTGCCCATGGCCTGGGAAAGCAGAGTGACAGACTGCTGTGGGCACATGTCATCTACATGTAGAGCCTCTGACATTATCAAATAAACATCTAAATATATCTCACTTATTTATCCTTAAGAAAATGAAATAAAAATATTTACAGCTTGAATATCTTTTTTTAAAACTTGATCTGCCATTTGAAAGGCCATAAGGAAAGAGCTGGATCAGAAGAAGAGCAGGAACCAGTGCCCATCTGGGAACCAGTGCTACAGGCAGTGGCTCAGTCTACTACACCACTACGTCACAGCACTGGTCCCCCTAGAGAATAAAAACACTTGTTATATACAGAGGAACAACATATGAATGACAATAGACTGATCTTCAAAAGCAGTTGAAGTAAGAAAACAATGAGACAACCTCTTTGAGGTAATTGGAAAAAATGATAATTCTATACCTAGAAAAAATCTTTTGAAAATGAAAGTTATTTTTCCAGAGGAATAAAATCTGAAAGAATTCATTATCAGTACATTATCACAGTAGTAGGAAAAATTTAAAAAAAGTTGTTTATGAAGAAGAAAAATGATAGTAGATAGAAATGTGGACCTACACAATGGAATGAAGGCCACAGGAAATGCCAGTTGCATAGGTAACTACATAAGACTTCCTTAAATTTCTGAGCATTTCAAAGGAGATAATTGACTAAGCAAAAAAATAATATGGTGGTTATAGCAAATACAGCAAAAAGGCCAGGGAGGGAGAAATGGAAGTATACCTTTGTAAGTTTCTGATGCTGTATGTGAAGTGGCATTAATATTGCTTGAAGGTAGAATGTGGTAAATTCGAGGTGAATATCACTCATATAAGCCCTTATGCCTCTACTAAAATAACATGACAAAGATAATAAGCTCACAAAATCAAAAATGAAATCAGAAAGTAAGTAATTCAAAAGAAATAAGAGAAAGAGAAAAACAGAGTCAAGACCAGATGGGAAATAAAGAAAACAAATATCAAGTTGGATTTGAACCCCTCTCCTGGTGTGCTTTGCACAGGATTTGGCTCTCAAACTCATGAAGATATTTCAACTCTAAAGTTATAAGTGAGTAACATGAAGAAGATGAAAACTTATCCAATTATGGGGATTAGAGATGGCGCCTGGGAGGAGGCCTTTAGGTCACTGGGGGTATATCCTTGGAAGGTTATTCTCACGAGTATGTTGGTTATAAAAGCCCCAGTGGGACCCAGCCCTCCCTCTGCACCCTCCCCACCCCCGTTTCTCTCTTTCCTGGCTCATGATATATTTTGTCTTCTGTACCACTCTCATCAGAGGCCAAAGCAATGGGGCTACCTGATTTTAGACTTGAACCTTTATAATTGTCAGCCAAATAAACCTTTCTTTCCTTCATAAATAACTTGTCTTAAGCATTTCATTATAGTAATGAAAAGCTAACTAAAACACTCAACAATAGTAGCATTAAATATAGGTAGTATAAAGTAATACAGAGCATTATAAAGGTGCAGGCACTTGACATAGATATCCTGTCTTTTCATTAAAAACAGAACTCCTGAGCTTTACCTGTGTTCACAATTGCCAAATAGAGACCATACTTCCTAGCCACCATTGCATATCATAACAGTATGACTAAGACCTGACCAAAGATCCAGGAACCTAACTGCTGTGTACCTATAGGAGGATGTGCCCTTAGAAGGCGCGATCGTATGCACTCTTTACCTTTTCCATAGGCTGGGATGTATGACAGCTGGAGCAGCCAACTTGGATCATCCTGTAACTGGATAAAGAAGCCATGTATCAGGAACTCAAGAAACTCAACAACAAAACAAATAATCCAGTTAAGAAATGGGCTAAGGATATGAATATGCATTTTTCAAAGGATGAAATACAAATGGCTAACAGACATAAAAATGCTCAAAATTACTACCCATCAGAAAAATGCCAAAAAAAAAAAAAAAAAAACCCCACAGTGAGGTTTCACCTCACCCTGGTTAGACTGGCTATCACTCAAATATCAAAAAATAAAAAAATTCTGGTGAGCATGTGGGAGAAAAGGTCCCCTAATCCACTGTTGGTGGGAATGTAAACTAGCACAAGCATTATGGAAGACCATAAGGAGATTCCTCAGAAATCTGAAGATCCATCTACCATATGACCCAACCATTCCACTCCTGGGAATTTGCCTAAAGGAAATGAAATCAGTGTATGAAAGAGTTATCTGGACCCTCATGTTCATAGCAGCTCAACTCACAACAGCTTAGATATGGAATCAACACAGATGTCTGTTAGCTGATGACTGGATAAAGAAGTTGTGGTATATATACAAGTGACAGAATACTGCTCAGCCACAAAAAATAAATAATAAAATCCTGTCTTTCACAAAAAATGAATGCAGTTGGAGATCATTGTGCTTAGTGAAATAAGCCAGTCTCCAAAACAAATACCGTGTTTTCCTTGATTTGTGGGAACTAATAGTATACATATACTAAAGTAGCGTATATGAACAAAATTGTTATTTTGCGATTTGATTATTGTTTATAGCCTTTGTGCTGTTGAGGAACAGTTTTTCTACTTACTACCTGTTGAATTTTTTATCTAGTGGAAGGCTAAGCTTGTGATTATGAAGTAAATTCAAAGTATGTCATTGTTAAAATGAAAAGGAGTGAGGAGGTCAGAGCAAGGGAGGGAGGGAGGATCGAGTGGGAAGTCCGGGTCGGGGCGCCGGATTCTGTCCTGGTTGCTCCTCTTCCAGTTCAGCTCTCTGCTGTGGCCCGGGAGGGCAGTGGAGGATGGCCCAAGTCCTTGGGCCCTGCACCTGCCTGGGAGACCAGGAGAAGCACTTGGCTCCTAGCTTCCGATCAGCACAGTGCGCCGGCCACAGTGCGGCAGCTGCAGCGGCCATTGGAGGGTGAACCAACAGTAAAGGAAGACCTTTTTCTCTGTCTCTCTCTCTCACTGTCCACTCTGCCTGTCAAAAAAAAAAAAAAAAAAAAAAACCAAAACTGTATTTGTGAAATTTGTTCCCTTTATTTAAATAAGATTTTTTAAAAGAAACCATATACCAAGGATATCAGAGCCACCCTATAAACCTTTGATTTTACACCTTTGAGCTGTTTCAAGAAAGAATAATACATATCTTTTTGAGCTGCTTTTCTTAATTTAGATCCCTTCCGAAACACATCCTGAGACAAATACTGGCATGCAGTTGATTGATTTGGGAAGTCACCCTAGGAAGCACAGGCAAGGGAGAGAAGGCAATAAATAACAAATTGATGTGTGGGTGACTACTATGATCACATCCCACTGTAGCCCTTCCAAGAGTCTCACCTTAAAGTTACCCAGAAGTCCTGGATTCTGGGACATTTGTCTACAGACTCCTATAGCCATTGGATGGGGGTTTCTTTTCCCAAGGGTATTTACTCTGCAGGGCGGTCAGCATTCCAGACACTCTTCATCATGTGCAATTACAGGGGTACTGTGTGCTCAGTGGTATGGGCTGGCATGTTTGGTACCTGCACAATGCAACATCATTACCCATTTTCTCAATTAAAAGTAGCTCAGTTGTCATAATGAGAACCTTTCTAATAAAAAAAAAAGTTGTAATTGTTTAAGTTTTGCTCCATTTCAAAAAATATGTACAGAATCAAGAATACTGATTTAGGGGACAAGACTAAGCATTTTATAATAATTATTTTTAGCCATAGGTCTGATTAGTTGATAGCAACAACTTTGCAAAATCTGTGGCTAGTGTTGTGGCACAATGGGTTAAGTTGCAGTTTGCAATGCTGGCATCCCATATTGCAGCACTGCTTCCAGTCCCAGTTACTTCACCTCTGATGCAGCTTCCTGCTAATGTGCCTGGGAAGGCAAAAGAAGATGGCCCAAGTGCCTGGGCCTGTGCCACCCATCTGGGAGACCCAGAGGAAACTCCTGGCTCAAGGCTTCCACTGGACCCAGCCCCAGCTATTGCAGGCATTTGGGGGATGATCCAGAAGATGAAAGATTCTCTTTCTCTCTCTCTCTCTCTTTCCATTCTCACTCTCTCCTTCTCTGTCACTCTACCTTCCAAAAAAAAAGTAAATAATAAAATTCTGTTGTGAAAACATTGACTTGTAGTATTCATAATTTTAATAATGAATGACTCTAACATTTGACTAAGATTTTCAAGGTCTAGGCGATCATTCCTTCCATTATTTATCGTGGACATTCTGGCATTATGAGTTCCCTAATTGAACAACAAATCCTCTGCTCTGATGTGTTACATTGCAAATTCCCAGGCATCATACCTTAAATATTTTTTGCTTCTAAATGTAAAATCTGTCTCATGTTGGGGTAAAAGTTATGTGCCCAGTATGTGGCCTTTGACTTCTCATTTAATGGCACAGTAGGTGTAAATTAATATATCACAGCACAGCTTTCTTGAGAGCTTTAACTAGACTGTGCCTACAGCTGGTTTGCAGTAGAGAAAAGTCTCTTCGGAAAGAGCAACCGCTTTGCTCTGGTTTTCAAAATGTAAAGCTTTCCTTTTTGCATGTCACGTAGGTTTCACTGCTTCTACGCTGTAGAGCTTTCAAGAGAAATGTGGGAGAAGTTCAAGAATTTCAGGTAAGAAATTATTTAGTTTTTCATTACTAAGGCTTGAAAAAATATATTTTAGGAGATATTAATATAAAAACTGATAAATATCTCAAAGTCATTTTGGGGGACATGTAGATATGCTAATTTTTTTAAAAAATTTTATTTAGAAAAATAATGTGCAAATCATTGAATATCACTAAAATTAATGAACACTTTCTTATTTTTTGAAAATATTTCATTAAGGACTACGTTTGGATTTATCATCCAAAGTAGTTTTAACACACCACCTAAGATTCTGGAAGTTACTTTACACAATTATTCCATCCATTACAATGGAGGGAACAAATCCCAGAACTACCAGACTCCATGGCTAATGCCCAAACTAAACCTTAGTGCCTAAGCATCCTACCTGAAATGTGTCATTTTTAAGAATTATCTATACTATTAAGGCAAACACTTGCAAGGGCAAGAATAAAGTAGAAGAAGACATGATCGAAGTTTTCTAGTGTGATGGCTAACTGGGTGAAATGTGCTTATTTTCAGGTGATATGCTTTACCGTCATAGAGCACTCTCAAGATAAGGTTGTATGAAATGAGGTACTTCTTTGCGCTATTCCTGAAAGTGTCAGTTGCTCTAAATCTAGGTTCAGTAAGTCAGTACTCTCTCTCACACTTAGAATACACATGCCTTTGGCCCAGCAATTTTATTGCTACAGCTTTATCCTACTTAAGCTAATAAATGAAAACATATGTACATGAATACTCATTTCAGCAGCTTATAATGTAGAAGTGGGAAGTAAGAATATACATCAATAAAGAAATGTTAAATTACAGTATAATCATGCATGCATTAATATGTAACTGTTACAAAAAATGAAGTTTTGATCTATAGGCCAACATGAAAGATTCTACAATCTGTGTTTTTAAGGAAGAAAAGATAAGGCAGAACAGCAAGCTCATTGTGTTTCTACATGCAGAAAGTAAATATTGTGTGCCTGTGTATTTGTATTCTGTACATGCCCCCAAAATTTTGTCATGAGACCCAAGAAATTACTAATCTTACTTTCAGAGAGTGACACTAGTGTTGCAAGTTGAGAGAAATATTATTTAAAAAATCAAATGCATATTTTTTAATAATTACATTATAAATAAAATTGGGTTATTTTTACAGACTACCAACTTAGTAATAAAAAGAATATGGAGAAGGCTAGAGACAGGATCATTATATACTAATATTATTCAAAGGAACTACTGTAGAGGAATGACTTAGGTAAATTGATAATTTTCTATTCTTTCTAAGTTTATGTCTTTTATTTGGCTTGATGTGATTATTTACTTCCTTTTCTTTTTTTCAAAGACAGTAATTATTTGTCCTGATCTTTCCATTATACAATAATATTATTTTACTAAAAAAAAAACTACCCAAATTTAGCAGGAACAATTTAGTAGGATTCCTTCATGCCAAATTGTTATAAAACAATAAGTGATTAAAATGAAAAAAAGAGCCAAAGGCAAAATTCTTTTCTGGCAAATTTTCCACTTTAAATGCTGGGAGATGCAAGGGGGAGGGGAGTGAGTTCAGGATTTGTTGGCAGCTGCCTGGGTGGGGAGCTGGGGCTTGCCTCTCTCCTTACTGCCCTTAGTCTCTGCAGAGGGAGCCGAGCTGTGATGTAAATAAGCTTTCTCGGATGGCTCCGGGCCAGGAGGACTCCTGCCCTGTCACCCAAGTCACCTGTGTCTTTTGAGAACTGCTTTTCCTTCAGAAAGAGAGGCTGATTTATTTTATGCAATTTTTATTGGAGAAACATTTCTAAATACTTCCAGGGTAACTTAAGTTTGGGAAAGTGTTGAAAAGCATACAGAAGCAAATATCAGTCCTTCTGTTCATCAGTCATTCATAGTCCTACTTTCCAGAGAGAGTTGCTAATCTAATATTGCCATCCTGTGTTTCAGTCTATCTAAAAGACAGAACTGTGTTGCCTGTATCATCTTCTAGCTTTTTGTATAAATTATCATATGTATATCCTCTTATTGTTAAGGAATTTCCTAACATAATTTATTGTTCATGGATGGTTAAGATTCCACTCTGAATTTATCACAACTTGCATAAACATTCATCTAAACTTAGATGTTCAAGTCAAGTCCACTTAAAACAATTTAGCCATTATGAAGAATGCCACTACTTTCTTTCCTTAATAATTCTTATTTGTAGTTCTCATTTTCATTTTATTTATTTTCTTAATCGTTTTTAATTTTGAAAAAAAAAAAAAAAACTTTAATTCCAGGATAGCTAGGGTTCAAGTACATGGGTATTTAAAAGGATCTGACTGGGGCAGGGGTTTGGCACAGCCATCGGGACACTGCTTGGGGTACTTTCATGCCACATCGGAGCCCTTGAGTTCAAGCCCTAGCCCTGCTTCCGATGCAGCTTCCTGCTGATGAGTCCCCTGGAAGACAGCAGGTGAGGACTCAGATACTTTAGTTCCCTGCCACCCATGTGGGAGACCCAAATTCAGTTTCTGGCTCTTGGCTTCTGCCTGACCCAACCCTGGCTCTTGCAGGCATTTGGGGAGTGACCCAGCAGATGTAAACTTCTGCTCTCTTTCTCTCTCTTCCTCTGTCTTTCAAATAAATAAAATAAAAAATTTAAATACGATATGAACACACACACGGGATATTTATGTTGGTGGTCCTCAACTAAGAGTACTTTTGCTCACAGCATCACCTGAAGACATTTTTGATTGTCATGACTAGGGGAGTGCTAGCTACTGCTGTCACCTACTGTGTAGGAGTCAGCCGTGGCTACTCATCCTGCAGTCACAAAACGGCTTCCCACAGGAAAGGAATTTAGCAGTTGCCTTGAGTTTGAGAAGCTCTGTGGCATCCTTGTGTGTGTGTGTGTGCGTGCGCGTGTGTATCAGAAATATGAATAGCCTTTCCTTTTCTAACTAAAAATTCACTCATGACACAAATATATTAATTCACCAAGAGAATTAAATGGTAATGTTTTTGTTATAGTCATAAGTAGAGATAGAAGGAGAGAGGAAGGGAATATTATGATATTAGAATTGTATCTATGAACTATATTGAATCTGATAAAAACCAACTGAAAATATTTTAAAAATGCAAATCTATTCAACCATCACAAAAATCTATAAGCAAAAAATGTTATGTTTCAATTTAACAGTGATCTTTATTTTTTAAAAAAGATTTATTTATTTATTTGAAAGGCAGAATTACAGCTCAGCTCCCACCATTGCAGCCATTTGGGGAGTGAACCAGCAGATGGAAGACCTCTTTCTGTGTCTCTCCCTCTCTCTCTAACTCGGTCTTTCAAATAAATAAAAATAAATTGTTAAAAAAATAAATAAGTGAAAAATTAAAAATGCTATTCCATTATATGTAAGCATCATAGCTTATTTAAGCAGTTCTGTAACAGTAGATAATTTAAGTAGCACTAAATTTCATAAATCATAACAAAAAAATGAACCTTTTATGTCCGCTTCTTTATATGTATCAGATTCTTTCCTTGGCCATGAATGCCTCACAGTAAAATCGCTTGATCATTGCACTGAGGATTTTGAGCACCTTTGATTCATGTGTCCAGCTGCTTCATCATAACATAGGTTCTTTGTAAGACTCAAAAAACTTTAAAAATATTTATTTATTCAAAAGGCAGAGTGACAGAGAGAGTGAGAAACACACACACACACACACACACACACACACAATCTTCCATCCCCTGATTCACTCCCCTAATGCCCTTAACAGCCAAATTTGGACCAGGCCTAAGAAGAAGATATGACCTCCATCCTGGTCTTCTGTACTGGTGGTAGGGGCCTAAATTCACAGACCTTCTTTTACTGCCTTCTCAGGCCATTAGCTAGAAAATGGATGATAGGTGACGGATTGGTGGGGACTGAAATGGGCACTCTGATATGGGATTCCTGTGTTGCAAGCAGCAGCTTTAACCTGCTGTGTCATAACACTGTCCCCCAAATTTTACAATAATTTAATCTGAAATTCTATACCCAAACATAATGGATTTTTGAAAAGGTTTATTAGAAAGAGTTACAGAGAAACAGAGAAACAGAGATCCTCCATCTGCTGGTTCATTACCCAGTTAGGCCAGGCAGACGCCAGGAGCCAGGAGCTTCATCTGGGTCTCCCACATGGGTACCAGGGCCTAAGTACTTGGGCCATCTTCTACTGCTTTTCCCAGGCCATTAGCAGGGAGCTGGATCACAAGTGGAGCATCTGGGACATGAACCAGTGCCTCTATGGGATGCTGGCATTGTAGGTAGTACCCACTACGCCACAATGCTGGCCCCTATAATGGATCTTTATAAAAAATTAACAATTGTAACTTCTCTAAAAATGAGGTGAAACCCACTTTTCACTGATGGTTAGGTCTTATACAGTCATTCAATAATGAGCAATTTTATAAGTTAGGAATGAATACTTGTTAATGATCACATGAAATAAAACCTGAGAATATTTTTTACTGTAATTAAAGATTTATTTTTTTCTCTAGCTGTGTTTACTAGAGATATGCGTAATGAAGGGTAATCATTTTTGAAGTTTTTCCATGGAGTTCCTCAATGTTTCAGCAGTTCTTAAAATGTTATCTTTTAATTCAACAATTTTTAAAAAAGATTTATGTATTTATTTGAAAGGCTGAGTTACTGAGAGAGAGAAAGAGAGACAGAGAAAGATATACTGATTCACTCCCCCAGATGGCTGCAACAGCCAGAGCTGGGCTAGGCTGAAGCCAGGAGTCAGGAGCTTCTTCCAGGTCTCCCACATGGGTTCAGGGACCCAAGGACTCGGGCCATCTTCCACAGCTTTCTCAGCTCAGTAGCAGGGAGCTGGATCAAAGCGGAGCAGCTGGGACTTGAACCAGTGCCAATATGGGATGTCAATGGTATAGGCTGTAGCTTAAACCCACTTCACCACAGGGCCAATCCTAATTCAAACATTTTTAAAAGAGTATTATTTTAACACTATAAAGAATAACACAAATTTCAGTATACTCCATATTTATTTATTTAAAAGGTAGAATGAGAGTGAGACAGAGAGATAGGAAGATAGAGTGAGGTCTTCCATCTGCTGGTTTACTCCACAAATACTTGCAACAGTAGGGCCTAGCTGATGCTGGAACCAGGAATTCACTGGATTTTTCATATGGGTGGCAGGGACCCAAGTACTTGAACTATCACCTGTTGTCTTTCAGGGTGCACATTAGCAGGAAGCTGGAAATGGAAGCAGAGCTAGGACTTGAACCCAGGGATTTTGGTATGAGGTACAGGTGTCCCAGGCAGTGTCTTATCCACTGAGACAATTGCCTACCCCTGTATATTGTTTTAGACAATATTAGCTATAATGTGTAAATTGTGCTGTTAGATTAAATTTTCGTGCATGTTAAGGAATAAAGTTCACACATGTGCTCAAATAGGCAGAGTAGCCATCTTAGCATGACTGAAGAGTATTCAGAATTTTCAAGGATAATTTGTAGTGGTGGCATTTGTAGGTATTTATGTCATGGAGAGAAAACAGGAAAAAAACCTGGATCGAAGTGACTTTATTCTTGGTGTCTG